AATATTCCTTTATATGTGGTTCAGAATTATGAGGCAATCCCCTGAACCTGCTTTGTGTCCAGTCTTCTATGTTGTTGCTGATGGAGCTCCTCACTGCACTTCTACCCGATCCACCATCTTCTTTGTTCCCTATTGGTTTACTTTTGTTGCTTTATTTTCTTTTTGAGTCAATTTGAACTAATAGCGACCTTATATAGGGTTTCCAAGCAGTGGCTTATGGGTTTGAACCAGCAACCTTACCGTTAGTGATCCAGTGCTTACCCTACAGTCACACTCAGGCTCCAGGATGAGCATATATTAAACACTAAATGCAGACCACCTAGTAGCTAACCATGACTTGTTTCTTCTACCACGTTTTTCTACGAGCACCATAACAACAGACAACAGACTATATGTACAAAATCCTGGAAGGAAACCAAAAGGGAAGAACACATTTAGCAGTCCTCAAGCTGAGAAAATTGACGATAAGATTCAAGACTCGAATTACAATATTGAAGGATTCTATGGGCAAAATATTGTATAATGCAAAAGTATCAAAAGAAAACGGAAGGAAGACACAGTCACTGTACCAAAAAGAAATGGTCGATATTCAGCCATTTCAAGAAGTAGCATATGCTCAAGAACCAGCGATAGTGAAGGAAGAAGTCCAAGATACATTGAAGGCATTGGCACCAGGAATTGATGGAAACAAAATGATGAAGCACTGAAGGCACTCACTCATCTATGCCAAGAAATTTGGAAGCCAGCTACCTGGCCAACTGACTGGAAGAAATCCAGTTCATTCCAACAGAATGCGTAAATCATGGAACAATATCATTAATATTTCATGCAAGTAAAATTTTGCTGAAGATAATGCAAAAACGGCTGCAATAATATATTACAAGATAACTGCTAGAAGTTCAAGCTGGATTGAGAAAAGGACGTGGAACGAGGGATAGCATTGTTGATGTCAGATGGATCTTGGCTAAAAGCAGAGAGTATCAGAAAGATGTTTACCCCTGACTTATTGACTATGCAAAGGCTTTTGATTAAATGGATCATGACAAGCTATGGACAATATTGTTGAGAATGAATTTTCCGAAACATAATTGTGTTCATGAGGAACCTGTACATATAGACCAAGAGGCAGTTTGTTCAGACAGAAGAAGAGAACACTGAATAGTTTAAAATTAGGAAAGGTGTTCACCAGGGTTTATTTTTCACCATACTTATGCTATCTATATGCTGAGCACAGAATCCAAGATGTTGGATTATATGAAGAAAAACATGGCATCAGGATTGAAGGAAGACTCAGTAATAACCTGAGCTGTGAAAATCATAAAATCTTACTTTCTGTAAGTGAAGAGGACTTAAAAAACTGAATGATGAACATCAAAGACCACAGCTTTCAATATGGGTTGCACCTCAATATAAAGAAAACAAAATTCCTCACAGCTGAACTAATATCCATATGAATGGAGAAAAAATTACAGCTGTCAGATATTTCATTTTACTGAGACCAACCGTCAACATTCATGGAAGTAGCAGTTAAGAAATCAAACGACACTGCATTCGGCAAGTCGGCTGCACAAGACCTCTTTTAAAGTGTT